TCTGAGACAGGGAGGCGTACGTCATCTCTAGCATTGGAAGAAGGCTGCAGAAGCCTGGTAAGGAAGAAGAGTAACACAGCCCAGAAGAAAGCAGGGCTCAGAGTGGGCCTCATCTTAGAGCTAAAAATGGGCAAGTGGCCCTCACACTTCTCCACTTCATGAAGGTCAGATGTGAAGCCAGCGGTTGGGGTATTCTCGGCCGTGCTAACTGCCTCTTCTCATTTAACCAGTTTAAAAAGGTTTAATTGTGAGAATCGTGGTTAATAATTGGTCTCAGGTTCTCTTAAAAAGGCACTCCACTAAAAGGACTAAGTAATTGTTATGCATGGTCACCCATGTGTAGCCATGGGCAAAATTTCAGAGCTGAGCCCAGAGAAGGCAGAAGCTATGTAATCGAGCATCTGAAATGTTGGTCACATGGCTCACGTTGCTTCTCCTAACACTCTAACCAGCCTACGTCTCAAAAGGTAAAAAAGTTTCCCAACATGAAGGAAAGGAAGAGGTGGTATTCCGATTCAGGTCTTCCAAATGTGACCATTTTTCTACTGGCCATTCTGCCTCGGGCACTGGACTGGAGAAGTGGCTCAGCAGTCAAGAGCACTTGCTGCTCTTCCGGAGGATGCAACTTCACTCCCTAGCCCCCATTTCGGGCAATTTACAACCACATGTAACTCCTCCAGGACCAGGGGATCTGATGCTGCCTGCTAGCCTCTGTGGACAGCTGCACAAATGTGGATACACAATACATAAAAATGTATATTAATCTTTAAAAAAATAAATGGCGAGTAATAATTCCTCAAAGGCCATGGCTCGAAGAACATCTTCGGTGCTGGACTTGCAGAAACAAAAGGTCTAGGTGCATGTCAGTAGACTCATCCATTTTACTCATTCATTTACTCTTGATTCGTAAATACAAGCACTCAAACAGCTAAAGTTTGCTGAACAAACACGAGCTGAACACAAGATAGTGAGTCAGGAAAATAAACAATCAAAGAGAGGGAAAGGTCAGGAGATGCAGGGTCTGCCTTCGGAGAGCTTCGATTCAGAAAGCTGATCTAACATCCACATGGTTGCAAAATTGCACAGTGTCTCAGCAAGACAGATTCGGAATATTGCCTGCCATGCCCTGCCAGAGCAAGTCTGATGTAAATGGGCAGATAGGTACAGAAGATTATTCCAAAACAGTTTTCATTGTTTGGGGGAGATGTCCACATTTAAAGGCACTTCACATCTTTTCTTCTTAGCTCAGCTGTAAGGCTGCTGTTCTAAACCCAGGCCCATTGTTTGTTAGAGGAGGCTGTGGATAATTCCTCTATTGATTCTTTCTTTTCACCTCCTTCTCTGTGTCAGATAACTCTACTAAAGAAGGGTTGAAGAAAGGGAACCTCTTCCAAATTGTTTTTGCTTTAACAGCACTGGGGTTGGAACCTAAGACGCCAGCAAAGTACGACATCACTGACCTAATCCTCGTCCCTGTTTATTTTGATTTGCTTTGTCTTAAAAACACAGCAAGTTGGGTTATTGAGTCACTGGTCTTGATGGGATGTAGTTGGGGTAAAGGAAGGTAAAACTAAAACGGATCATGGAGTCTTTGACTATCGGATGAGAGTGGTTAGACTTTCTATATTACAGCAGAGAGAAAATCCTGAATCTTGAGGAGCGCGTGCATGTGTGTGTGTGTGTGTGTGTGCGTGCGTGCGTGCGTGCGTGTGTGTATGTGTGTGTGTGTGTGTGCGTGCATGTGTGTGTGTATGTGTGTGTGTGCGTGCGTGCGTGTGTGTGCGCGTGCGCGTGCGCGTGCGCGCGCGTGTGTGTGTGTGTGTGTGTGTGTGTGTGTGTGTTTGGAAAGCCAGTCTCCTAATTAGGGAACATACACTGGAATGGATAATATTTTTTCTAATTAAAGAAATGAATCTAGTGCATGAAAGACACAAAGGTCATTGCTTTATTCTCAGCTTCCACTGAGAGCGAGTGTGTGCTCAGCCTGATACTCCCCCATCTTACTATTGCAACAGCATTACTAGGCATTAGTCTCCAGATTCATTTGAGGTTAGCAATCTTTCGCTTCAGCCAGTATTCGGTGCTTCCAAACAAAAACAACTGCCAGCGTGCAGCTTGCCCTCTGACCAGAATTCACTTTCCTTCCCCATGTCACACGGTAGCGCCTCCTCACGCTTTCTGTGGCATAGATGGTCAAACACTTGATGGTTTCTTTCGTTTAAGAGCATGCTCAACATGGGTTTTTGACATTTTCCTGCAGCTCAGACATCTTCCATATCAGATTTTAATAATATCTGGACCCATAACCTTTTGCTTCAAAATTGGTTTTGGCAAGAAATCAAAAGTAGGAGAGTGTCTATATTAAATATTGATTTTTTAAAAAGACCTCTTTTTTTTTCTTGCTCTTTCTTTACAGAAGGCAAAAGAAGATAACAAAAGGGTTAATAACCTTTTAAAACTGCGCCTATTTTTTCCCATTATCTTTATTCTCTGATTTATAATAGTGCAATTTGGGTAATATTTAATCTCACAAATACAAATGTGTACTAAAAACATTTTTAATAAAATGAATCAAATTACAAGTTTGATTTTGAGATACTCTGCCAAGGAAGAATTTAATCCAAAGCAAAATATGCCACTTGGTGGTGGTGCACACCTTTAATCCCAGGAGGAAGAGGCAGGTGGATCTCTGTGAGTTTGAGGCCAGCCTGGTCTACAGTGAGTTCAAGGACAGCCAGGGCTACACAGAGAAACTGTGTAGTTTTGAAAAACCAAAACTAAAGCAAAACACAATGTGAAGAAATAAATTTGGAATGAACATTTCTCTTATTTCACTTTATTATCACCATTATTACTGTTGTTGTTACTACTACTACTGTTTGGTTTTAAAAGGAATCTTGCTGTCCATCCAAATTGTCCTCAAGTTTGCAATCCTCCTGCATAAACCTCCAGGGTATTGAGAGTACAGGTGTGCATCACTGTGCCCAATTTATTATGTCAAAATTTTAAGGGCACATGTTCAATTCACATTGTACTAGTTTCATGTCTGTTGTGATAAAAAAAAAACCACACTGCCCCGAAATCAACTTAGAGAAGAAAGGATTTATTTCACCTCTGATTCTAAGTTACAACCCATTATTGTGGGGAAGTCAAGACAAGAGCTGGATCCATCATATCCACGGTCAGAACAGAGAGAATAAATGCTTGGATCTCTGCATGTTTTATTGCTAGCTGTCTCCATGCGGACAGGGTTCTGAGACCAGCCTAGAAGGTGCTGCCGCCACCTTCAGAGTGAAGCTTCCCAAGTCAATTACCTCAGTTAAGAATCTCTCTCTCTCTCTCTCTCTCTCTCTCTCTCTCTCTCTCTCTCTCTCTCTCTCTCTCTCTCCCCACATGCAACCTAATCCAGGCAATCCCCCACTGAGGCTCATTGCCTCAATCCCCCACTGAGTCTCATTGCCTGGTGGTTCTAGATTTTGAAAATAAGGAACACAGGCACAATTTCATAATAAACAGGAGTATAACCCACTTTCCCTTCAGCACTTCCGTCCGCCAGACACTGGGGCATAATGATCCCTGCCAGGTTAATACGGGTACTGGGTGCTACCTCAGTTCCCCTCCGGATTTCATAGTCATAAACGGGACGGGATTTGGAGATTGAATTATATCATACAAGTGAACCCTAGTAAAATGAAACTTCTTTAAAAAGAGGAGGGGCGTGGAAGGGCTCTCCTGGAACGTGTGCTGAGACAAGCCCAAAGTTCTCTTGTAGGAGCCAAAATGGGAGCTGCACCCAAACTCCACCCTGCTGACCTGCTATGGTGAGCTTCAACCTCCAGGGCTCTAAGAAAGTCAATTCCACTGACAAAGCCATGGGAATTGACCCCTGCAGCATTAAGAATTGACTACCAAACGCGTAGCCATTGTGTGAACTGGGAAAAAATGGGTAGGTTAACAGCACAGGTCATTTGAACGTAAGCTGTCTCTATCAGCCCACTCCTCAGACTTCCCTCTGAATCAGGAATTAGCAAATATTGAACCAACCTCTCGAAAATTCCCAAACCTCCGGCTATGGCTTTTCTTTTAATTTTCCAGGTTTGGCAAATTCACGGGAATCCAATGAGCCATTCTCCCTTCTGGTCCTTGTCACTGGGATTTTGTGTTCTAGCAAGAAGTCATCATCTAAGATCTCAGAATTCTACATTGAGAATAGAAAGAAAAAAAATTCCTACAACGCTCCCTGAAACTGCAATGTCGAAATAAACCCAGGATTTGTTCTGGCTGCATTTGCGTTCTGTAAAACATCTTAAACACAAACTAAGCAGTGTTGTGCCCGAAACTAATTGGCAGTGTCCCCAGTGCCATCTTACAGTCAGCTTCTATTAATTGGATTAGAGATTCGGTGCGAATGGCAGCTGGTAGAGGCTTTGCAGTTACTGTGGCTCTTCTCTGTAATCCCCGCAGCAGAAATCACACAACAACGACAGAGAGGAGCATGGTTGGTGATTGCGCTTGGGCGTCTGTTTTCCTTCTTTTGGGAAGGCGCGCGCGCGCGCGCGCGCGCGCGCGTGTGTGTGTGTGTGTGTGTGTGTGTGTTACATGTGTGTCCACATTGTGGGAGTTCATGTGTTTAGGAGTGCGTGTGCACACGGAAGGCAAAGGGTTAATATTGGGTGCCTTCCTCAGTCCCTCTTCACCTTCTTTAAGGAGGCAGGGTGTCACATTCGAACCTAGAATTTGTTCATTCAGTTAGCTTAGCCAGTCATCTTGCTCAGAGGGTCCTCTGTCCTCACTTCGTGCATTTGGGGATCACTCAAGGTCACCTGGCATTTACATAATAGGTTCATGGACCTACCTTAGGTCCTTGGGTTGCAGGAAGCACTGTATCTGCTGAGCCCTCTTCTTGGCCCTTTCCTTATGTTTTTTTTTTTTTTTTTTTTTTTTTTTTTTTTTTTTTTTTTTTTTTTTTTTAAAGCTAAACTCACTTTCTCCCCTTTCAGGCTCTCTCCGGCCATCTTTTTATACCTGATCAACATCATGCCGTCCTTGTGGCTCCTTGAATTGCACCATGGAAACCAGGTAATGCATTCCTAAAGAGCAAACTATGGTGAGATTCAGCAACAGTCCACTTTCAGAACAGGACAAGATCTGTGCCATTACCATGCCTTTCCAAGGGGTTGGAATTATCTAGAACTGAAGAAATAAGAGGCCAGGGGCAAAGGAAAGTGACATCCTAATCTATCAAAAATAAATTAAATAATCACAGTGAGTTCTGAGTTGCAATTATTTAACTAGCACTTGCTGTGGGTGATTGTCTTAATTAGCTTTCTATTGCTGTGCTTAAAACCGTGACCCAAAGCAGTTTGGGAAGGAAAGGGTTTATTTGGCTTTATAAGCGTGATTGCAGTCCATTGAGGGAAGCCAAGACCGGAACTCAAGCAAGGCAGGAGCCTAAAGGCAGGAACTGAAGCAGAGGCCATGGAGGAGTGCTGCTTACTGGCTTGCTCATCGTGGCTTGATCAGCCTGCTTTCTTATAGATCCAGGACATCCAGGCCAAGAGGGGCACTGTCTTTAGTGAACTGGGCTCTTCTATTTTAATTTAAATCAAGAAAATGCCTCACGAACTGGTTTGCAGGTCAGTCTGATGGGGCCATTTTTTTCAATTGAGTTTTTTTCTTTCAAGATGATCCTAGCTTGTATTAAGTTGAAAAAAGAAAAAAAAAAAAAAAAGCACAGTGATCTTCTTCTACGATCCACCTCTTTTCCCCAAGACATGCTAGCTTGAGTTCACAGGGGGCTGTGAAAATGATCTGTGTATCTGCTTATGTTTGTATGTCCCTGTGTGGGTGTGTCCATGTACATTTCTGAAACTGGGTTCTTCCTGAAGAAGCCAACAGAAGATACAGGATGTTCTCCTCCATCCCTCTCTGCCAAATTTCCTCATGGCAAGATCTGTCACTGAACTCTGTCAGCAAGCCCAGGAATTCTCTGCCTGTCCCTGCCAGTTCTGGGGTCATAGGGTCATGCAGAAAAGCCCAGATTTCACTTGGATGTTGGGAATTTGCACTCAGGTCCTCATTCTTACACAGCCCGTCATTAAGCGCTCAGCCATCTCCCTATTTCTGTGAGTATGATCGAAGAGTAGCAGCTTCAGGGTGTCCCAAGAAGTTATGCTAAGAGTTTCATTATGCTAAGGTCTTGATCTGGCATTATTAGGAAGATGTTCTTAAGGAAATACCAAAGTTAAAAAGGAAACTATATTTTTTTTTTAAAAAAAAAAAGCCTTTATCTGTGTCCACGTGAATACATTCCAACTTCTAGGGACCATTGAAAACACAAGGGGAGCAGAATGCAGGGGACACACTTTTGGAGCTTGGTGGGACATCATAGTAAAACAGAAATCTTTGTGTTGAAGAGAAAGCTCGGCAGTTAGGAGCACTTGCTGCTCTTGCAGACAACTGCAGTTCAGATTCCAGTACCCACATCCGGCTGCTCACAACTGCCTGTAACATTTCCAGGATCTCTAATGCCCTCTTCTGGCCTCGGCAGGCACCAGCACACATGCGCGCTTGCACACACACACACACACACACACACACACACAATTAAGAATAAAATGTACTTCTAGGGCCTTGATATTAAATATAAGGGAGTAATATCATGGAGCCCACCACAGGGAAAGGTACCATACATATCCCAACCAGACAGACAATGACCAGGGCTCGTAATCCAATCCCCATTTATAAAGCAGTTCCCATCACTCGTGTTTGTTTTCTTGAGCCACAGACTACCCTAGTATTTGCCTATGTAGCCCAGCTGTCCCTGAACTTGAAGTAATTCTCCTGCCTCACCTTCCTGAGTTCAGACTCCTGAGTTCAGCATACCTGGTTTATATAACGTTTTAAATATCGACCTACTTCCTCCGTGAACTTGTCTGGCTGGTAGACTCAAGACCGAGCCTGTCATTTGTTTTGTTAGCTTTTCAGCACCAGCCTTGGAAGCTTCAATGATAAAATGCTTTAGGCAAGATTTGCTCAAAATTGACCTTGTATAGATTTTCTTTACTGTGGCTGTTATTTTATATCAAGGTTGAGTCTCCAATTCATATGTAACTTTATCTGAAAACGCTTCCTGCAAACTTGAGGCACAAGAGAGAGTGATTTACCTTTGCGGATGGCTTTTTAAGAAACTCCCAAGCAAATATCAATCATGTAGCCACCAATAAAGCATTTCTCCTCCTCAGACCTCTTGCTGAAATTCATTAAAAAGTTCAAGGCAACCTCAATGTCTGCATTAAAGTATTTTGGTAACTGTAGATTAGTTAATTCAAGTCACCTTGGCTTTGATAAAAAAAGACCACAAAGAGCCAGAGGACCACTTGACTCTCCTGTCAGGACTACGAAAACAAGCTGAGGTGATTTGAATCAATTTATCCTCTCCATATCCGGTTCTATGACATGGCTATCATCCACAATAAGAATTCATTTCTCCCAAATGCTTTCGTAACATAAACGTATTACACAGCCAATTGATATACAGGTCAAATCCCATTACAACCAATAGCATGCAACCAAAAACTCTTTTTAATGAGAGAGAGAGAGAGAGAGAGAGAGAGAGAGAGAGAGAGAGAGAGAGAGAGAGAGAGAGTTGAGCCTTGGGCAGAACTTCTGTGATTCTCATACTACAAAAGAAATCGAACCTTTGTTGTTGTGATATGACACTGGAAATTAAAATAAATACTAAGAGATTGAAGCAGCCAGGGCAAGCAGAGACGCAAGTTGAAAAAAAAAAAGAGAGAAATATTGGGGTTATGTTTAAAGAAATAAGTGGCATTTCAGAATTGAGGGAGATATAGAAACCCCCTTTGTCTCTAGTTGCGACAATCAATTTTGTTATATAGAACCTGGAATTTCACAGAGTTTTCAGATAGATTTTCTCACGCAGAGATTTAAGGACCTCAAACATTAGGCATGGTACAGATATTTCTGTTTTATAGAAGACAGCCATGGGGTTTAAAGGACTTAAGCTCAGAACCAACATGTGGCCCAGAAGAATACACTCTAATGTTTCAGGGGAGCTCACCTAAGAATCATCTGAGTTTTTCCATGATGGAAAAGAATCATTTACTTGTCACTTATGAAACTAGAGAAACGGATCGGTGGTTAAGAACACTTGCTGCTTTTGCAGAGAACCCGAGTTCAGGTCTCAACACCCACCGGGCCCACCACGTCCTGGAACTCCAGGTCCAGGAAATCTGACACCCTTTTCTGGCCTCTTCAGTCACCGGCAGGCATGTGGCATAAAAAATACAAGGAGACATACACATACACGAAATTTAAATTAAAAAATAAATCTTAGTTTCCATTCATATTCTCCATGTTCTTGCATCCCAGTTGTTCTAGAGGACCAGTTTCATCCCATCATTCCTGAAGTAATGTGTGCTACACACATGCAAACCACAATGTCCTAAGGATTTCAACTCTAACCACACGTGAGCTCTGCTTGGGAGAGAGCTCACTGGAAGTGATGGAAGTGCCCGGTTCTTCATGATGTCCTTGTTACCGTCAAGTCAAAGGGATATTTTAGGGTTTAATGACATAGCCATGAATCAATGACATAGCCATGCTGGTACCAAAATTACCTTCCTAAAACCCTCTGGATGATGATGCCCACTAAAACACCAGACACAAAAGCAGAGCAGGTCAAATCAGGGTGAATGGGTCAGCCCCCTGCTTTTGGCAGCCTTGATGTCTTGCGAAGAAAAGGTCCACCAGTCTAAAACTGAGTACCAAGGAGAGGAGAGGAGCTCAGTTAGCACCGTGATGCACATGAAAAGCTGTTGGCTTCCACATTACAAGGCACTGCCTTCAAGAGTGTCATTTCCCCTAATAGCAAGATGTTTACACAGTTATACAGATAAAGGTATGAGAACCTAGCATCTCAGCACTTTTAATACACGGCATGTTTTTATACCTCTAAAAAACAGGTGGTTAAAGCTTTGTTTCTAGTGACAGTTACATAGTTAGGCTCACCAAGTTACTCGACAGATGATGATTGGTGATTTGCATCAAAGATTCAGTGTTTTGGCTACACTATCTCTTCTTGAAACGTTGGTTACATTTGTGTATACACATATATGCATGCACACACAGCATACACACATGCACATTTACTAACATGAACATGCACACACAGTCATGCGCACACACGTAACACATGCACACACAATGTGTGTGCATTCACATTCACACACATATGCTTACTTGCACACTCACTTGCATGTACACACATACATGCATGCACACACACACATGCACATACACACATAGTGTGCATACTCCTAATCACGTTATTTCACTTAGAACACTAGTCACTTAAGTTGAGAGCAGAAAATAATGGCTTCTTGGTAGACTTTATTGTCTACTTGTCAAATGGCTTATGGTATAAATGGTACAGTATTGAGAATAATTAAGAAAAAAACACTTCTTATAGCTTTAGTTCTTCCTGCCCCACCCCATAATTTCTCTCTAAAGAAATGTGTAATCATGGAATATGATAGTGATGGTGGTGATGATTGGTGGTAGTCTCTCTGTCTCTGTTTCTCTGTCTCTGTCTCTCATGTGTATGTGTGTGTGGTGTGTGTGTGTGTGCGCGCGCGCGTGTGTGTGTGTGTGTGTGTGTGTGTGTGTTTATAAAACATGCCAGCACTACAGATACTTAGCGTCGATAACTCTCTAAAGCCAGTTTGTAAAGTCTACGGCTGAAGTGGCTACTTTGCCAAGTGTTGTCTTATTAAATTTTCCCACCTATATTCTACCTCAGTTTCCCAATATCTGGCTAGATATGATTACAGACAGTTTGTTTGCATAATGAAGAGAGGGAAGAAGGAAATCATCCTTTAGGTCAATTATCAAATTTCCCACAGCCCTAAGTTGGCTTAGTAGCAGCACTGGCATCTGGGATGCTGGACGTGCTGACTTGTTTGTGCCGAAGCCTGAAGGGTGAAGAGTAATTGGATTATTTATTTAACTGGAATGATATTTTTAGAGAGAGAGCTTTCTTGGTAAGAAAACAAACTCATAAAATAAATGTATTCTTAGAGTTTGTATCACAATTGCTCCCAAAAAGTTTCAAGAAAGGGACCCCACTAACTAACCCGTAGATTTGATAGCTCTCTAAGATGGCTCAGCATCTCTATCCTCCATACATTCAGGCTCAGGCGGTGAACGCTCTCCTTGGTACCCTCCACTTCATATTCTGGTCTCAGGTAACGTTTACAGGGACCCTGGAAATGTCCCACATCTTCATCCTCTCTTGTATGGAGTGAAGCTGCTTTGTTGTTACTTCACTGAGACAGTTTTCCAACACCTGCCCTCAATTCTTAGAATTGCAGCATCCTGGCACAGAACATCAGCACCGGACGAAATGTCAATCAAACCTCGACATCCCAGAGACCTACCAACGGAGTGGGAACGATCATATATATGGTGAGAGCTTTTCCCATAATTTATGATAAGTTTCATAAAGTTGCAAAATTCTGGGGCACAAGAATTGTAAAAGAAGATGCGTTTCCTTCATTAAACCTGCATCACCTACGTGCTGGTGTACTTAATATTAATAATCACATGCATTAGAAGCACAACTCTTACAATAGAAACATAACTAAAGTGCATCATATTACAACATATTAATTATATTGTCACAAATTTAGGTACTCTAATTATGTCTATATTTAATATATAGTTGTGCCTAACAACATCTTTCTTTAATCAGAGTAAATTCAAATTTGCAGCATAAATGAGAGGAAGGTATCTGGATTTCCCATAAACCTCTTGCACTCATACATACGTAATCTCCCTTCTTAATATATCTTGCATCTTGATGATATGTTAGTCCAACATCTGTATCGATTTGGGGCAGGGTATCACACAGTACGGATTGGCTAAAAATTCACTATGTAGCTGAGAATGACTTTGAACTTCTGATCTTCCTGTCTCCACTTTACACATGCTATTATAGGCGTGTACCACCACATCAGGTATATGTGATGCTGGGGGTTGAACACAGTTTGGTGAGCTATTTTGGATATTTTAGTTCTCCATAGCATCTTTAGACTCAGTTCCCCACCACTCACAAAATAGTTTGATGATGCTATGGTTGAGCTGGCATCACATACGCAACAAGCCATGGATCACTTGACATATCGACACTGGTGAGTCTGCTTAGCAATGAACAAGAGCCATCTCTCCAGTTAGTCCATTTTCGCTTTCAGCAAGAACTGTGGACATAGCTTAGAGCTACAACTTATGTCTCGTAGATACAAGGTCCAGTGTTTGACTCTCAGTACTATCCAGAAAACAGAAAGACTGGTTGAACTCCTCAGTATTAGTAGTTTTATTATCTATATCTATGTCTCTATATATCAGATATATATATAATGTATTTTAATATAGATGCACATATAACATACATATGCTTTAACATTTTACTAGATTCATAACCGAGTGCTTTATTTTTCACAGTGACAATGTGATTATAAATTTTAGTTCTAACATCTATTTTTTTATTAGTATAGAAAAAGAAGATTGACTCTTGAATATCAACCTTTATTCTACAGTTTCTTCATTAGTTCCAGTAAAGTTTTTGTTTATTTTCCCCACCAAATCTTTAGGATTTTCTATATATAATAGTATGTGATGTCAGTAAAGACAGTTTTATTTCCTCCTTTCCAATCAACATAACTCTTATTTTCTTTTCTTATTTTATTGAAGTAGTTGGGGAATATATAAATACATGTTTGTTATTATATATTCATTATGTTTATATATAGCATCCATATAATAGAAAAGGCTGTTTGCCAAAATTCAGTGATAGAGTGGCTTTTTTGCTTCACACATCTTATATTTTGCAAGTTGATGATGACCTGTTTGCAAACAGTTTACAGAGGGGACTCAAGACAAACAAAGTCACTACCCCTGAGAAATGTTTTCTTAAATAAGGTACACTGTTGAGTCCCAGAGGAGAATAGAGCAAGGCATGCATTATCATTCAAGTTCTAGTAGAACTTCCCTGTGCCACTGTGGACAAGTCACTTGCTTTTCATCTTAACTAAAATAGTAGCATTTATCCTGGCAATGTGTTAAGTGAGTTGTATGCAAAGCCACACAGGAGAGACATCAAGAAACAAGTGATACAAATATTTGATCTTCCTATATGGACTCCATCAAGGTTCCCATCTTCCTTGATCACTTCTCTCCCTTTGTACTGTAGATTTGGTATGAACAATTGATCAAGAGGTGTGTTTCGATTCTGCATAAGAGTAGCTATGCCCTTGGCAGAGGTCACCTGGCATCGTTATCCTGTCTATTTGTGACACAGCTTTTGTAGTCTTGAAATATTTTAGCCTAAACCAGTAACAACATGCTTTGAAATTTACTTAAAAATTTAATGGGAAGGATATTTCCTCCAAAATCTAGTAGGGGATCTAAGTTTTTCTCAAAACCTAAAAATAAAGCACCCCACTGAATTTTTCTTGTTGAATTATGGATTATTGAATAATAGTCTATATATTCAGAGCAAAGATAGGAAATATTACAATTATTCTCTTCCATTAAGCAAATGGACAAACACTAATGTTTTTCTGGCTAGAATTTCAAGGCAGTGTAAAACAAAAAAAAGATTGTAGTATGTTAAAACTCCCAATGCCACCAGGCGGTGGTGGCGCACGCCTTTAAACCCAGCACTAGGGAGGGAGAGGCAGGAGGAGCTCTGTGAGTTCGAGGCCAGCCTGGTCTACAAGAGCTAGTTCTAGGTCAGGCCCCAAAGCCACAGAGAAACCCTGTTAGTAAATTCAGATTTAAAGTCAGTTAAAGAAAATACTAGATTTTTTTATAATCTTAATATGGAACTTATCAAACTGTGCTATGTGTTATACTTGATTGTAGAGTATAATAAAATCCACAATGATGTTTAAAAGATTATTACATTGGTCCTTTAACTATTACAAGATATCGTCTTACTAAATGTAAGATTTAAATTAGCCACAGGGTAAGTCTGACCTCAAGGAATCCATTATATTTCCTTTTTAGGGTGTTCATCTAAAGGGGTGGCATTTTTCTTATTAAATTAAGAATGGCTCTTGGAAAATGTTGACAGAAACACACTGCTGAATGAAATCCATGTTGAAGTAGACAATCTTCTACACACTGATGGTCTCTAATCCTGATGTCTATGGGCTGTCTCTGTTCCACAGACCTCGGAGTTCCTAGATTTCTTATCCTTGGTATGTGATCCAGTCTGGACCCTAGCACTCCATCAAACGCTGCTGTTAATATTGATCCTTGGTCGGTGGCTTCTGCCCATTGGAGGCACTATTACTAGAGACCAACTCTCAGAACTTCTTCTGATGTTTGTGGGGACAGCGGCAGACATACTGGAATTCACCACTGAGACGCTGAAGGAAGATAACGTCAGGTAAGGTCAGAAGCACCCCACTTCTGTCTCATCGTCTCAAATTAGTACTTTCCATGACAAATGTGTTTAAATATATCTTTATGTCAGGGCTCGAGGGATGAATTATTTAGTAAACTGTTTGCTGTGCAAGCATCAGGACCTGACTTTGGATCCCCAGTTCCCATGATAATACTAGGCATGGTGGTGTGTTGTCTATGATCCCGGCACTGGAGATGTGGAGACAGGAAGAGCTCTATGCCTTGTTGTCTACCCATTGAAGCCAAATCCATAAACTCCAGGTTCAGCGGGAGACTCAGAAAATAATGCTGATAGACAAACATACCCAACATAAAACCTCTGGGCTTCTTATGCACTTATATACACATGTGCAGGCACATCAAATGCACTTATACACACCTGTGCAGGCACATCAAGCAACATGCACACCCATGAACATGCCTTCACACACACAGCACATGTACTATGTGTACACACACACACAGACAGATACATACATACATACATACATACATACATACATACATACATACTAGGAACCAGTCTTTATAGTAAAAAGGAAAATGCAGTACGGAGACTTGGTCTGAGAAAGGGACAGGATATATCTAGCCTGGCTTAGACCAGACCACCATCTATTTGTCCCATTAGTCCAGGAGAGCCAGGGCAGACCCACAGTGACTCTAGGTATCTGGAGACTCTCTGGTGTCTCTTCCATCTTCAGTCAGGTGTCAGGAGTATAGTCAATGGCATTTTCTCTTAGATCACAGCATAGTTACAAGAGACACAGAGAAATTGTCCCTTTCTGCAACTGAAGACTTTACATTTCCCAGTGAGAAGGCAGAATGGAGCAGATGAAGTTTTATTGTATGAAATTTTATATTTAGTCAGTTTGGTTCAAAGTGCCCAAAGGCTTTCTGGTGGAGATGCCTATAAATTAAAACTTATTGAGTTGGTACTTTTATTTTTGCCACAAGCAAATAAACTCAGAATCCATGATCACATCTGTTTATGGAGCCGCTTTCTTCCCATTAGGGATTTGAGTCCCCGCGCCTGAATGTACTTTAAGCTTGGGTTGTTTTGTATGATGCTATAAAAGTAAATTGGAATGAGGCTGGCTTTTAATGCTACAGTTTACTTTATCCCACACTCCTCAAACAACATAGCATAAAGACTGAGCAAAATGCACCAACTTATTAAATAAACTTAATTTCGCAATTATAGTGCGAATCATTATTTATAACAAGGGATTTTTTTTTACAAGAGCACTCATTGTTTTGTGCATACTAATTTTTCTTTTAGTTTATTAAGTTGGCATCATTTTTTTTTGAGGAATTCGATATGAATTGGATCACTGTAGTCATAGTGTTTATTTTAGTCTGGTGGTTTCAGTGCCTAATGGTTGATCAGCACTTTGCATTGCATAATGCTTTCAAATATGCTTAAGATAATTATAATACAATGCCATTACTAGAGGAACAGGAATGGACTGTGATGGAGCACATGCAATAATGAATGTGGAGAGTTACAGAGACATGACACATAATGACAACAAATTACCCCTGTCTGAAAATGAATGCATACATGCTAAGTATCTACAGAGGCAACACAGGATAGTAAAAGGACTTGGGGAGGGCTATGTTTTATGGTGTTCATCGTAAAATGAGAGAAATGCCAAACCCAGTTATCTTAATGGGCTCTAGGAGCCCCATCCAGAAGCATCATCAAAGAGTAATGCATCCCATGTTTACCAATAAATGTTGATTATTAAATAAGTTTATTTAATTGGTTGACCCATAAAAGGGACCCTTGGAAGTCACTAGGCATTGTTTAATAGACTTAGAACTGTTTTTATTTTTATGTAACATGTGCCAGGTAGTGTGTTGGGCAGAGCTTGGGTAGTAAAACCGTAAGCAAGTTATGAAGGAAAGAGCACTCAGTTCAGCCAGAACAGGATTATTTTGGTTCAGCAAAAATTAGAAGAGCACTTGATATTTCAAAACACCATCAATCCTCAGTTTTTTTTTCTGTCACTTATAATTCAATCTGAATACTTTCGGAGCATATATTTTGGAAAAATTGAACCTGCATTTCATGCAAGTTGATGCTTAATGGGGCTGAATAAATTATAGTTGGCCCTCGTATCTGCTGGCTTTTCATCCGTGGACAGAAAGAAAGCTAGACATGATTCCAAGTTTATTGTAGAATGTGTGGGGATCATTTGTTAATGTTATACCATGTTTTATAAGAACTTGAGTCCTACAAACACCCTCCCACAGAGAGTATAGGATTTTGTTACAGATTCTATTTTTAAATATCATTTTCAATTGTATTTTCTCAAATTGAAGTCATTTTTGTTTAGAAGACCCCTGGACTGCCCCAGTGGACTTTCACAGTCTCCCGTCTGTACCCTACCACCTCCATGACGCCAGTGTCCCTCATTCTATGGGGTCAAGTCCCAGAATGCATCTCAAGATTATTCCTCTCTTCTAATAGCTTGCTTCTGAGTTCTAAGTTTTTATCTCAGATCTTACCTATAATATAAGAAATTATACCAAAAATGCCAATTTTGTGCATGTATGTGTGTGTTTTTGTGTGTCCTTAGAACAAGGGGCTGGATCACATGGAAAGATAGTTACAAATGGTTGTTAGTCCCTATGTAGTGCTGTGAATTCAACCCAAGTCTGTCACTGATGAACCATCTTTCTAGTCCCACAATTATATATTATGAACAGCATAGTTCTACAAAATACATTGTACTGGCTTTTCTCTTTTGGGTCATGTTTCTTGGTAGCATATACAAGAAATAATAACAAATCCAAAATCAGAAGTGTGTTCTGTTTTCTACCTATGGAAACTTTAAGCTGGTGTGTGTGTGTGTTTCTATTTGATTTAATTTTGTGTACACTGTAAACTAAACTTTCAATTTCAATTTATTTGGCATTGACACAGAATTGTTTGTTGTACCAGCTTGGAATAACTGTTCTTTCAAGACTAAGTCTTCTCCTATAACATTCTACTCTGATTGACCAAGTTGGCCTTAATGTATTTAACATTTGCATAAACTTTAGAGATGTGGCTCTTCCTCCCTCCCTTTCTTTTTTTTCTTCTTCCTTTCTTCCATTCCTGCCTTTCTCCCCTCCTTCCTCCCTTCTTCCCTTTCTATATCCCTTCCTTTCTTCCTAAATAGTTAGCATTACTTTCTTGTTGGCATAGTACAATACATCAACAACAGAAAGCAACCTAGGGGCAAGAGGTGTTTATTTAGCTTACATTTCCTGACAGGATACCATCCATCATGCTGGGAAAGACATGGCTACAGAATAGGAAGCTGGCCCAGAAAACAAGAAACAGAGAAGAGAAGCTATAAAAACCTCAAACCTCATCTAGAGTGACATACTTCCTCTAGCTAGGCTCCACCTCCTAAAGTTTCCACAACCTCCCACACAATGCCATCAGCTGGGGACCAAGTGCTCAAACAGGAGAGCCTATGGAGTATGAGGGGGGGGGAGAAGGGTGACATTTCATATTGAAATCACAGTTAGCCTTGGTTTCCTCTTCCTTGGAGCCTTTCTTTTAGGGAAATGGCACTCTACTTCTCTGTGCTGTTGAATTTTAGTCTTTTCCTGGCTCTTGTCTTTCTCAAGGATGAAGGATGTAGGATCCATGTCTTCCAAATGGATTAAAGAGTCTAATAAGGAGCAATGCCATCAATAAAAATGGGGTTCCATCCTGCAGTGTTTGTGGGAACACTTTAAATCCCAATTAGCAAACGGAAATCCTCCACACGTATCAATCAGCTGCCACCCAAGGGTCCTCCAGGGCTTCCTTTCTTAGGTTTGAAATCTTTCACACCTTTTGTTGCAGCATATTAGAGTCAGACTTCTCACCAACTCCAATCATCTGGAATAAATTCTTCTCTGCCGCTTTAACACCATCTTATACAATTCTTCTTTTCCGGAACTGAGCCACGAGAGTGGATGCTGCAAATTCTCACTGCTGTTACCTGAGATTCCGCCACACTAAGGAGAGCCAATGTTACCGAATTTGTTTCTTGTCTCTGGTTCCTTTGCACAGCATGGATGGTGATCTTTGACAGCGTGTCTAATATAAGCCATATTTGTTAAGGGGGAGAGGCATCTGTTGACCTTTTCATTTGCTGTAGCTTCCTTTCCAAAATGCTCATGCGTCTAAATCCAGCATCTTCGGGAGAAATAGTTCATCACCTCTGGGAAACACTCTATGGTTTCTGAACACAGATCATTTATTAAAAAGAAAGTCTATTCCCACACCATTACTATATCTCAGAAGATTGGACAATGCAGAGGAGGCCTCCCCGAGCTTTCCCATGCTCAGTCTCTCTATCTTGCATTTTTCTCAGTGCAGTGTTCCTTCTGAAAGCTTTGTGCTTTGTACCCATCCCTCTTCTCTCTCTCCTTCATTATCTTAACGTGTTTATCACGTTTCTAACCATACGTGAATCCCATTCCTTGACTATCTCTTTCATAGAAAAACACATTGTATTCCAAAAAGAATTAGTTAAGAAAGTAATCAAACTGTTACTTCTTTTATCCTTGTTTTTTAAATTCACTTTTTTTTGTGTGTGTGTGGGTGTTTTGCTTGCATGCATATGTGCACCATGTGTGTGCCTGATATTAGGTTGATCAGAATACAGTGTCCTATCCCCTGGGACTAGAGCTGGTTATGAGCCGCCATGCATGTGTTGAGAGTCAAACCTGGGTTCCCTGGAAGAGTGGCCAGTGCTCTTCATCACTGAGCCATCACCCCAATTCTTGAGGCTTCATATTTTTAATTTTCACCGACTATGGTGCTTTTGTTGATCCAGCAAAAGCTAGTAACTTATTTCCCTGGCTACCAAAAAGAAAAAGTATATACTCGCCTCAGGAATGTTACTTCTGAAGATCTTTTATTTCATGATGAGATGACCTGAAATTCAGGTACCGTCCTGAATACAGATTGTACCATTTCGTGGGCTGAGATCTGAG